TCATAAGAAGAACAGCTGCGACATTTTCCCATGGTCAGACGTGGATTGAGTACTGATTAGGGAAGCTCGTCGCCAGAGAGCTAGAACGTTTCATACCAATATGAAAAGATATAGACCGAAACGTCTAGTTTGGAAATTACGCCTTTTGTGCGATTGCGCTGTGCCCGTGCTATCTGTTCACCGCAGAATACGTAAACCTATATAGAAACACAATACACGTACCGTAACTCGTTTGATATGTTAGTTATTATTTGTTTATTTTCCTTTTTTGAATATTTATCATTCGAGGAACTCAGGGTCTTTCTCCCGATGATCGGTTTCGACACCCTGATCTCACTGGTCGATACTGTGGGAAGATATCTGAGTCTGGGCGATGTTTTCGAACCGGAACGTTGTGCGTCAGAACCGCGTTATCTTATTTTGTACATAATAACTGACACGGTAAATTGTATATAATGGAGTCATCCTAGAAATCTATTTGGTATGGTAAGGCACCTTGATTTTGCGGATCACGGTGAGACATGCGTGTTTCTTACGGCCTAGCTATGACATGCTGTCCTTTCAGGTCCTACCTTACTTCGATTCCATAGATTGATTTCTACAAAATTTCATCGATTTCTATGCTATGACATTTTTTGAGCTCCAACATTTTGTCCAACAGGGCCGTGGTCACCATAGATGCTACATACCTCTACGCGCCTATCAAATAATCAGCCTATAAGCAAGTGCCCTAGTGTTAGAAATCTAGCTGTTGTACTTTCTCCAGTCGAAATATTAACCACTGAGTAAAACTGATGCTGGTGCTGAAGAGGGTTAATTTTAAAATGATATGGGAAATTTTGACGAAAGAAGACATTTATTATTTGCGTGTGAGGCTGCACGCGCCAGAGTTCGGAAATATACAGGGTGTCCCATAAATATCGCACCACATCTTGATCTTGAATTCTGTGGGTGTTTGTAGCTTTCCCACGAGATTGGACTGACCTTTCAATTTACTATCCTCTTTTGAACGGCCATCCAAATTCCACAGCCCGCTCGGCCTGCGTCTCATGAAGCGCCTAAACTTTCACAGAGTGCCTAATCTTTCGCACAGCTAGTCAGACATCAAGTATTATACATCGCACTTCTCCGGAATCTTAAGCGCTCCGCGGAGTACCGCGCACTGTAAAGAAAGGCCGTGAATGTGGAACCGTTGCAGCCGCCTCGTAAGTTCTGCCATCGTGATTCTCAGGAAAAGCATGAAGAAGCGGATCGACTGCAATACGAAGTTACGATCGAGAAAGTGACCAGAACGCTGAGATTTTTGAACAGAATCATATGGAGAGTGGTCTTATAACAACTGCTCAAAGCCATTGTAAGCTGCACAAGCACCACTGCACTGTCGAATCATAGAACTGCGAGAAAACTATTCCTCAGAACGCTAGGATTCACAAACAGAAGCATTCCCCGTGGGATCATCAGGAACAAGATGCTCGGTTTGGACCCTCTGCAGTTAAGGCTGAACGCAGGTTCTTACGTTCCGTGCGGGTATGGAGTACTTGAAAAGAGCAAAATGTTCAAAATCAGAGGCTTTTTTTCCGCATTCAAAAGCAAGGTATCTCATTATCTGAAGTCCGTTCAGTAACACACTAGCGTGTTTTTATTTTATGTTACCTTGAAATTCCTTTTTTTTCGGCGTTGTTTTTCTTTCTTAATGCTTTATTACATGCGAGTAGCATGTAATAAAGCAAAGTAAAGTAAAGTGCAGCGACAAATACAGTAGAGAGGTGCCAGGGACCGGAAAAAAACTTTTACGTGGGCACCATTCTCTTTGACGCCAAAATTTCCACTATGGAGTGAATCCACAATCTCCAAACTTCGAGGATGCCCCCAAGAGGTCCTGAGGAAGCTTATGGAAGAGGAAGAAGATTCGCTCCAAGCAGCAGCCGAACCTTATCATGTCTGGACAGGGTCTCAACTACCGGTCGCTCACCATCACTGCCTGTTTAAAAAGGAATACAACTTGATACTAGACCTAGCTAAGGGACATTTCGGTGCACCATCTGTTACTAAGGTATCTAGCCACTTGAGGAGGGGTGATGATCTTTTCAATAGGACCCAGCTTCTGCATAGGAGGCAAAAATTGTTCAGGAGCGCTGTTAAGCACTCTTCCGATTTCACATCCTCGAACGAATGGCTCTCCTATCCCTTGATTCCACTATGTGGGCTGTGTTAGGGGCAGAGCCTGCACTAAACATTGCATCCACATGGATGAGCCGGAGCCTTTTCTCTGCAAAGTTTCGAAGAGAACACCCCAGGATGCCATGCGGGCCACAGTAGAGTTGCGTTCGAAGCAATTGGGAGCCATACTCACAAACAAGGGAGCATATCCAATGAATGTCATTCCTTTCAATATGTAAATGTATTGCTAAAATTTTTGTAAAACCTCTTGAAATACATCCATTTTGAAAGAAGTTACAAGTAAAGAAAAGTGGTGCAATATTTATGTGACACTCTGTATCTAGGAAGTGAGCGATATTTACTTGCATGTATTACCGACCGTTTATGTGAAAAAGAAATCGAAAATAAAAATGTATAGGATTCGTAGGTCTCACCGTGACTCGCACAATCAAAGTTTCCTATTATATTAGTTTTGCACCGTCATCCATTCAACTCACTATCTTAATTCCATAATAATTGTCACTGTTATTTAAAGTATTGCAGTATTGCCTCTTTGCAGGCCTCATCCGTGCTAGAATTGACCGAATCGATTCTAATTGTGTGTAAGTATCCAAATACTGCGAGAATTCTTTTCGGATGCCTTATGCCAATGAAAGGCACGTCGGACGGTAAGCTCATAGCTATTCTAGAAAGCTGCCTACTCAACCTTGCTAAAATTTGCCACACATTCAAATTCTTTTCGATATCGCAGGGATCTGTGCGCGAAACAAATCAAAGTTTCGTGCGCTGAAAAAGGCGGTTGATTAGGGTAAGGAGGTTTATTGTCATAGAAGTCAGTGCCAACTACCGTGTTCAAGAGTATTCTCGCTTCAGTGGAATCCTGAGCAAATATATTGAATGAGAATTATTTCCAGCTTTCCACTAAAGGAGGATTCCACGGTAAGGTCGGATCTTGAAGACGGGGAAACTTATGCGAAATACAGGCGGACCACGTAAGGGTTTGGACCGACACGCCTTTCGCAGTGAAGGATAGATCGCCGCGATAGTATCGGAGGAGTACTCCCACCCACTATCCACTCGCCGCAGGTCTCTAGGCGTCCACCAGAGAGAGCGGTAACGTAGATGAGGTGAGCACCGCACGTCTTACGCGCACGGCAATGAACACAAAGGCCTCATTTTTCGGTTGCTAGGTTGCTTTTCTTGGTTTTTTCTTCAGTCCTGCCCCACTGACCACCTCTACTTTGACCACCTTTCAGTAGGTGAGGTGGAGGTAGGTAAACGATCTGCCACAGACTGAGCGAGTTAGTCCTTCAGTGCTTCTTTGCTACGCGAACCAGAATGCACCGCCTCTCTGCGTGTTGAGGGAATGTTGGTAAGTTTCATTATCAAATTTCCTATAACCAGTTGCTTGATAGCACGTCTAAGACATCTAGGATATTTTTACACTGTGTATAATTTATTTTATAGGTCCAGGCCCAATAGTCAACGTCCTTGGATCAGATTTGATGTCGCAACAGCAGAATTCCAAGCACTTTGATCATCTGATCAAAAGTTGGGGCCATCACCAAAAGCTAGCGAGGCTTCATCGCATGGGTACTTTGATGAAAACACGATAAAAATTGGAGATCTTACTAATTCAGGTACACGAGCGAACAATTTGTTGATTTGCTGAAATGAAAACTATGTCGTACAAAGTGGACACACCAAGACAACATAATATTCGGTCACATATTTAGGAGCAGCTTGGTGGGAATATGGTTAACTGCAATTAGAGAGAATGAGAGCAAAAATTATAGTAAAATGGAGTCTCCAGTTTTCCTCTGAAGACATTCACAATTTCACTGAGTGTTAAGGTGGCAGGAGGGGAAAATCGCTAAAATTCATTGTGCGGATGGCCGCATTCCCTTCACCGGCGCACTCACCATTCTTGAAGGTTTAGTGAACATGCGCACATGGCGTTTCTCATGTCTTCGATGTTTGAGCTCTTGCTCGGAGTTCAACTTTTTTCATCCAGCGAGGAAAGGGAGAGCCATCCTCAGTAGGATTTGGGCGGTTTCGCCTGCGTTTTATTGAATGATTAACCATACTATTAGTTTTGTGGTGACAACCCTCACAAGACTCCTTGCACTCGAATCCTTTTCGTGTGATGAATAATGATCCCAGATAGATTTATTCTCTTGTAATGAATAATGATAGGATAGATCCATTCATATTAATACACAAATAATGAACAAAGCGAAAAAATTGGATAGAGATGAAGAGACTCAAAAGTGCACGATATAGAAGTGTTTCATTTTTTTTCAAGTGTCCAATAATGCTGAGAGAAAAAGGATCAACGTTCCATTCAATTTACATCGGAGAGGATCTATGATTCACTCAATTTAAGTCAAGTAAAAAGGACGGACACTGACAGTATTGTCAGTGCGAGTTGAGCTTCTTGCTGTGCTGCGATATTTGTCGAGTCAAAGATTCCTTCACCTTTATAATCATCTGATTCACAGAATCGTTGACCACAGAGTTCTGCGCATGGTGGGCAGATAATCCGACTTCTAACGGTCACATTATATACAGGCTGAACAGAAGTATTTAATAAATGAAGATTCAACCCAATTTATACCAGTTTTACAAATGACGATAGCACACGTTTTGTCGTTTAAACCGCATGGAACGGTCACGATTTTACGAGCACGGCCACCTCACCTATCATGCGTGGGTTTTGAATGTTGAACGAACAAAATATAAACAACACACAATTATTTGATCAATGTCAATGCAAGGGTTTTCTACGTGCAGTTAGCTTCAGAGTGGTCTCGTCTGACTGCATAAAACACATCTACGCTTAATATGTACTAGTATCTACCTCTGCTTTTAACATGGTAGTGAAAACAACAAGAACGAAAAATGAAGCTATTCAAAATTATCATGGCTTAGAAAACTCGATCCTAGTGTAGTGGCCTGTTTCTTAGCTGAATCTAAAGAAGATGAAGCTCATGGAAAATGTACTGGTTCTTGATACCCTATTTGCAAACATCGAGCAAACTTCTCCGGCTACCACTACCTGTATGGCCTCCGCTGATTTGTCGAATTCTGAGCGGGCGCCAGTGTGTATCCATCTATACCAGTAGCGAACCACATCTTCTTCAGTGAAGGGACACGCAGCTAATCATACCTTCCGTACAGAGTTTCCGTGAGAGAGTGCGATCATTGGACTGGCAGCCGCCTTGATGTTTGATTTGACGTCCTGAGGAAACAGTCCGGGTTACCGCTTTGGTCCAAGCATCACTACGTATTATGCGCCCGACCCACTTGGTCTTCTATTTATTGGCGATATCAGCATCCTCTTATCATCAACTGGAGTTGAGAAATCCGGAGTTCCTTGTGCACCTGCGTGTGTCAGGTAACTACGTGCATCTTTCTCTCTACAACGCGCAGGCTAACGCTGACCTCATGCTCACATCGCCAGGTGTCCGGAAAAAATATAAAAACGAAGACGTGCACAGAAGACGTTCTCATCTTCCTCTTCTGCTCATATACTCTGGAGCGAAGTCATTCTACTCGGTTCTTCGTCCTGGAGCATTAGAGATCAATCGTTACTTATGAACATCGCCTCCTTCAGCTCAGCTGCAGACCGGCCTTAAGATTGGCACACTCGAAATGAGCCAGCATTCGCTCTGTTGTGTTGTCGACCGCTGACATTTACTCCCATATCTTCGCTTCTTAGTTGACGCACGACGTTCTCGAGAGCGGCACTGTAGAATTTATGCAGTATGCTCCGACCCTTGAACAAGCGCTTAGAATTATTGAGGGTGTAGTCACGCAGACGCAGACATCCGGCTCCGTCCCATATCTTCTAATCTTCAGCCCTTCCTGCCCTACCTCGGAGACTTTGGTTTGGTCAGCGTCATCCAATGCACTACGGAGAGGACAATCCTTTTAGTTTTTCCATGCATGCAAGTGCAGTTGAAAATCGCCAGTTTCGAATTTCAACAGTGAAAGCTGCCGATTTAGCTGGGAAACGAAAGATCACATTGTCGGTACAACGCATACAATTTTGTGATGATCGTTGGGCCTGATCGTTCACCAGCTAGATCTTCTAGGACGTCTATCAGACACCAAGACGGCGTAATGACCAGATTTTTCACGATGACGAACGAGGAGTGTGTATTTTGAGCAATAAAGGGGGCGACAGGTGGTAGAGTAATAGGCGCCGCCGTGTTTTTGGTAATCAGGTTGCTTTGATGACAAAACTGCACAGTAAATTCGAAGCGAATGCCTTTGCTAATTTCAGCATGCAAGAAGCGAGAGGGCAACACAACAGCTTCTAAAAGCCTACGTGGCTACTAGAGAAGTGATGAAGGATTGCCGCCATGCGAATGTTTTTGTTAGCATTACCTTAGAGGTGCAGTAAGCCGGTCGGCACATAAAATAAAGCATGCCCATCGCGTGCATTGACCGGATTTATTGACCAAGACGTTTGCAATGGCATTCGCTTCAGTGCATTCTCGGAATAAGTTCGTCTATGCACAAGTATCAGCAACGTGGCTGAATATATAGAGGGTGATCACAAAATGCGGTAACACGAGCGAACCGCATACAATTTTTAATTAAAACGGAGGGAGTTTTGCGCATTTGATCCGATTTTCTTACACGATACTCAATTTTCCATTTCACCACTCAAAATTTATTTAATTTGGATTGTTCAAGCCTTTAGCTCTTCATGAAATAACGACTCGCTTGCTTCGTCAAGGTGTCTGGTGGTGTTACGTTGCAAAGCGAATCAGAATCTCAAAGAAACCTGCAACAAGCACTACGAAGAACAATCGAGTAGATGCTATAAACGATTAGCTTGGACAAAGCTGTTCTTACTAACAACAATGCTGTCGCTTTGTTGTTAGTAAGAACAGTGTTGAAAAAAGGACAGACTGCGAAGAACTTTGGCGGAACAGCTCGACAACGGGGCGAGTTTGTCCTGATCCAGTATTGTCGCTTTTTCAATTATAAGAAGGCGCTCACAGTCGAGTTAGACCTGGATAGATAGAGCAACAAAAACTGCATTCCAAACCAAAGCTCAGCATCTCGCATATCATTGAATTCGGGAGAGGTGAAAGTTCTTGCGGTGATCAAACAGGGAATCAAGCCAATTTTGACTTTTGTTTGAGGAAGATCATAGAAGAGCGAGGATCATTTTAAATTGTTTCTGACTCGAATAATTTATGAACCAAGGAAAGAATTAACAACCTCAAAGATTTTTGTGGATTCCGGCACATGAGGAACTCGAGGAAGCGAAGCTCTGCTGTTCTATTGTTCATAGGAACAGTATTGACAAAGCACGCGCCGAGCTGCGGTGGACTCCAGTGCACACAATGGAAAAGAAAATCATGAGACATCAAATCAAATCACAACTCCTTTTGAACCACCTTGGTTAAGTGCCCTATTTACCACAACTGTCTACAAGTGTCCTCTATCTATCCGCAAGTGAATGGATACCTCTCCCACAAAACTACGCAACCTTCGACGTCAAGAATCAGTGGATGTCTGTTTTGAGGTGGTCGCCATCATCGTAGTTTTTCTCGTTAAGGAAACGAGCAAGCAAGCGGAGCAACTGGTGATTGGTTGCTATACCTCAGTGGATTAGAAAGAGTGGGGGAAAATCATGAGGCCAAGTTTCTGTATAGTATTCTGGCATTCTCTCGATACATGTGGGTTGCGAGCTGCGGCGCAGTGGAACAATTTCATGTATTGAAGCCTCAACTTTGCGATATCCCTGCAAGTTCATCCAGCTGTAAGTAGACGTCCACGTAAGCAGTGGTGGTATTATTTCAAGCCTGTAATGAGCAATGCTTCGATCGGCAAGCAGAGCCTCCCGTTGAAGCTCACCTAATGAGGCTCGTTGTCGTTGCTGAGCAGTACGTTCCCGCTGATAGACTGACCACTTCTCGACCCCAGTGTCTCTTTGTCACGCCAATCGGAAATTGGACCTTTAGACTGCAGATTCAGGGACATGACCACACTTGTCCTTCGAGTCACATCGTTCAACTCGTGAGAATTTCATCTTCCCAGCGTGTACAATTTCTCCACGTCTCAAAGGGAACGACACATGGTGCACTGGAAGGACTGAAGGTCTACTGCAGTTTGACGGGTACTGGTACCGGGTTGCCTTCAAGAAGCTCTTGCATGCGTTCAATATCTACGGTCACTGGGTGTCTGAAACGTGGTTGTTCTTCAGGGCCGTAGTCGTCCTGACAGAGTTTTCAAATCACTTTCAACATATATTCTCTTTCAGTTAGTCTGAAGGTGTAACCCCAAGTGTCGCGCACAAAAAACACAGCACTAAAACATATCCTGGGAATTATTCGACCGTCCATCACAACATCCAGAGCATAGTGTTTGTTTACGCTGAGGGCTGATAAAAAGCCGGCCGAATAATTGTATTACGTATCTCAAGGTCATTAAAGGAAGCGATCACGCTGGCTTCCACGCTGGATTTGCTACCCTCGCGTTATCAATCGATAAGGTGTGAGGCAGTAATTGTTGGACGAGTGTAAGCCCATGGAAGATATGATACGATGAGATAAGAAGGTGCGGCTGCTTGATAAGAGGTGCACTCCAGAATGAA